CAGCTCATGAAGGTCAAGTTGAAGTACTTGGACTTGATCTTCTAGAGATATTTGGGCAGCCATTAAAAACTTGTTTCAAGAGAGTGAACGGCTAAGTTTGCATTTTAGATTGCTCTGTTAGCAGGAGTTGTGAGGGTGCAGGCAAGGCTGGAAGATGAATTGCATTAGTCCAGATAAAAAATTGAGAACTTCAACTCTGACAGCAACAGGTAGGATGAACTCATAAAAGATTTTAGGAAGAACTGAGGACTTTGTAACAATGTGGAGCGTGGAGGCCCACCATGGGTGTGGAGTGGATATTGGGGCACTCAACCACAATGGGCAATACCAGTGAAAGAGAAAACAATGATTTCAGCTTTAGACTCAAACTTGAGTTTCCTGCAGGACCTTGAAATGGAGATATTCAACACCAGCTAGGTCACTGGTGTGCTGAAGGGAGAAGTTGGTGTTGATGTGTATCTGATTGTCAGTATACAGATGGGGGAGGAGAGGTGGCAGCGTGGGAGTGCAGGGCTGACTATAGAGCCCTGGAGAGGAACACAACAGCAGGGGTGGGATGGAGAAGATCAGTGAGAAGGAACTTCCAAAGAGGTGAGGGAAGGCCTTGGAGAGAGAGGAATCAGAGGAGGAAGGGAAGAATTCCAAGCAGGTTGGCCATGGCTAGTCATCCCTGACACCACCAAAAGACCAAGTCAAGGGAAAGCTGAGCTGTATCTGAGCTGAGCTGGCATGACCCTGGGTGTTTGCATGAGGCCAAGACAGACTGCAGCAGGCTGAAGTGCCAGCGAGTTAGGAAATCAAACAATACAGAACACTGGGAAGTGGTCAGAAGTTTAAAGAAGGGTGGGAAGAGGGCTGAACCTAATGGGGAATGGTGGCTGTGCAGTGGGGTAGGAGACCCCTGAGCTTTATGGGCCAAGTAAGCAATGCATGGGCACCTGTATCCAAGGGGCGGGGATAGGAGGGACCTGGAGCCCAGGTGAGAAGAGCCTCCTGCCCCTCTTTTCCTTTCTCCCCCTCTTTGGGGCCCATTCTGAGCTCCATCCTTTTCTTAAATCAGAACTGGTTGTCTGTAAGGAATAGCCCTTCCCAAGGGAGTATTTGGAAGCAGCAGATGGCCTAGGAATCCCATCTGTTTCTCTTTCTGCTCCCATCCAGTGTTCTCCATCTTCTATCCCCCAGCCCACGTCCCCACCCAATGCCCCGGCCTTTGCCTCTGCTCGCAGATGTCAGGCGTTTCCCCACAGATAGGGGGAGCCACCACCCAGCCTGAAGAGCTCCTCAGCCTTGGTTAACGACCTGTCCCAGTGAAGCTCCTGGTGAAGCCAGGCCACAGGGAAGTACGAGACCTGGAAATCATTGTCCATCATGGGCCAATCTGGAAGTGTGCCCACTCAAGGCCTCAATTTCTTCCCTTAGTCTTTGCGGGCAGTGCCTGAGCTGACCAAGGTCCCTCCCTGTGGTGTCCCTGCTTGGTGTTCCATACACGTAGACATGAGGCTCAGCCCCAGGGCTTCCTGTACCTTGGCATATCCAGTACTTGTGGAGAAGCCCTCAATTTGACCTGAATTGTAAGAGTTCGAGCAGCAAAAGGGCAAGATCACAATCAGCTTCCTGCTGATCTCTTGTGAATTTTCTTTTCCATCTCATACACATTCCACCTTCTGAAAATCCTGAGTGGTAAGCTAGAAGGTATAACAGAGCACTGAGTCAAAGAAGGCAGCCTTAGAAAGTGGCCATTTCCTAGCCATATTGTCTTGACTCTGTTGGTTCCTCTGGGATCAGTTTTCTGATCTGTAGAATGGGATTAGTAACACCCATCACATGGTGATATGAATTATTCTATAAAACTGCATATGTCACCTCACACCAGTAAGGATGGCCACCATCCAAAAGACAAACAACAAATGTTGGCGAGGGTGTGGAGAAAGGGGAACCCTCCTACGTTGGGAATGTAAATTAGTTCAACCATTGTGAAAAGCAATATGGAGGTTCCG